AGAGAGAGAGAGAGAGAGAGAGCGTTTGGTTTTCCATCCATATACCAATTCATTTCTGATATTAAGATTTAGAAGATGTTGGTCGCCACCTCCATCAGGCTTCCTTCTTCACTTTCAGATTTCCTCCTTTTCCCTCATTATAGCAGTTTCTGTTTGTGGTCACCAATATATGCATTCTCTCTCTTTTTTTCTTTAGACCACAGTTAGACCTCATTGCCCAGTCTCATTTGCAGTTAAGTATGGCCCACTGAATTGTGGTTAGTGGATTTTTAGTGAAATGATAGCCCCATTTCAGTGATTGGCCCTTGCTCTCTTTTACCATGAGCTGAATTGGAGAGAACTCTGAGGTCTCAGAGGAGGATAGAACTACAATATGGGAAAAGCTTGCATCCTGATAGGACTGTGGAGAGTGATATAGGCAAGAGTAAAGTTTTATTGTGCTAAGTCACTGAAATGTCGAGGTATCTACTCTGACTAATATAATTGTCCTTGCAATGTCTCAAAGACAAGATATTTTAGCATACTACTTTACCATCCAGCTTCCCTCCCTTTTCTATTTTCAACTTTTTTTTCTACAAAAGACTGACAATTTGCATGTGAAAATACCAAAATGTCCAAGTTACATAAAGGCATGAGTCATAAAAGTGATTTCACTTGGGGCAGGAATATTTGGTGCAATAAGTGATTAGAAAATAAAAATGTGATCATTCATACAGTTCTATAGAAGTAAGAGGGTGTGTTAAGGAAACTTACCTTAGTAATTATGTCTCCTAGGTATCTGGAGCTTCTAGGAAAGTCCAAATTTCATGGAATGAAATTCTTTCTGAGATGTGCAATTCAATTGTACAACCATTATGAACTGTATTTATAAAATGTTTTGATGGCTTGAGAAATTACTTATGTAATACTTATTGTGGGATACAAAATTGCATCATCTTAACTATGCACAGTACGATCTCAACTGTGTAAAAATTATGTACTTACTGGAAGGGATAGACCAACATTTTTAAAAAAAGGAGGATAAAATAACATAGTATAACTACATACAATTTTGTGAACAAATTAATCACATAAAATTACCAATCTGTAAAATTTCTTTGATAGATTGTGTGATGCCAGGACTGTCAGGCAGACCCTGAGCGATGGAATGGATTACTCTGACACATGTTTCTGTGAAAGAGGGGCTAAGGGACTGCTTGGCTGTAGGAGCAGACAGCCCTGTTTGCCTGTCTCAGGCTTTTATTGTAGCAACAGCTTGAACTAAAATGAACTATTAGATACTATCAGCAGAGTAAGCATACTTCAGAAGACACAGGTGTCTGTAGTGTCCTTTAAGCAAGGACATGTCTAAGTAAACACCCGGGGGGCTCAGACTTGTTTGAAAAAGTCAAAGCAGGAGCTGTCATCACTTGTAGCTGAGGCCTCCCTAGAGGCCCCTGACCTTTTGGAGAACCCTCCTTACAGACTTTCCAACCAAGTCCCATGTTTCCCCACAGTGTGAACCATTTTTGGTTCAAAAAGATGGAATTACTAAGATTGTAAGACCCAATGCCTTACCTAACAAGCATATACATAGTACTAAATCATCATAGGTGGTTTTGAATATGTCATTTGAAGTGAATGAAGCAGGTTTGTAAGAAGATATAATGGCCATGGGTAGGGGACCACTCACTGAAGAATCCTGGTGTCATTAAAAGAACCTGGTCTTTGGCGTTTGATTGAGGGACTGCTGCTGGCTAGTTTTGTGAAACTGGGAAGACTAATTCTCTTTCAACATTGTTTTTCTTATTTGTGTGAAAATAACTCTTGCTTTATAATTTCATGAATGATTAAAATTTGTGATGTTGTGCTACACTATTTTAGAAAGTGGGTAAAATTGTTGTAGCTTCTTTTCTCCTTTCTCTGTCATAACATCTCCAAAATGTTAATGTAAATCTGATACTTTTAAGTAGGTTTTTGTAAAATACAGATTCCAAAGCATTCTGGAAGACCCTGATTCAGGTGATTTGGAGAAGTTCCTGTATTTCTAACAAGTCAGCCCAGAAGATCTTGATAGGGATGGTGTGAGAAACACACTTTTATTTTTATTTTTTTGTGTTTTTTTAAATAAATCTTTATTGTTCAGATTATTACAGATGTTCCTCTTTTTTCCCCCCATAGCTCCCCTCCACCTGGTTCCCACCCCATCTCATGCCCTTACCCCCCGCCACTGTCCTCATCCATAGGTGTAAGATTTTTGTCCAATCTTTTCCCACACCCCTCACACTCCCTTCCTCTGAGAATTGTCAGTCCACTCCCTTTCTATGCCCTTGTTTCTATTATATTCACCAGTTTATTCTGACTTAATTTTTAGATGCACTTGTTAATAGATATTTATTTGTTATCACTTTGTTGTTCATAATTTACCATTTTCTTCTTCTTCCTCTTCTTAAAGAATATCCTTCAGCATTTCATATAATCCTGGTTTGGTGGTGATGAACTCCTTTAGCTTTTTCTTGTCTGTGAAGCTCTTTATCTGACTTTCAATTCTATATGATAGCTTTGCTGGGTAGAGTAATCTTGGTGGTAGGTTCTTGCTATTCATCACTTTGAATATTTCTTTGTACTCCCTTCTGGCCTGCATGGTTTCTGTTGAGAAATCAGGTAACAGTCGTATGGGTACTCCCTTGTAGGTAACTAACTGTTTTTCTCTTGCTGCTTTTAAGGTTTTCTTTGTCTTTAGCCCTTGGCATTTTAATTAAGATGTGTCTTGGTGTAGTCCTCTTTGGATTCTTCTTATTTGGGGTTCTCTTTGCTTCCTGGACTTGTAAGTCTATTTCTTTCAACAGGTAGGGGAAGTTTTCTGTCATGATTTCTTCTAATAGGCTTTCAGTATCTTGCTTTCTCTCTTCTTCTGGAAGCCCCATAATTCGGATGTTGGTATGTTTGAAATTGCCCCAGAGGCTCCTTACACTATCTTCACATTTTTGGATTATTTTTTCTTTTTGCTTTTTAGGATGGGTGTTTTTTGCTTTCTCGTATTTCAAATCTTTGACTTGATTCTTGGGATCCTCTAGTCTGCTGTTGGGAGTCTGTATAATATTCTTTATTTCAGTCAGTGTATGCTTAATTTATGACTGGTCCTTTTCCATTTTTTTTGGCATTCTCATTAAGATCTTTGAAGGTCTCACTAAGTTCCTCGGCGGTTTCTAGAAGATTCTTGAGTAATCTTATGACTGTGGTTTTGAACAATATGTCCAGTAGTTTGCTTTCCTCCATTTCTTTCATTTGTGACATGTTTCTTTGTCTCTGCATTTTGGCTGACTGCAAGGACCCGCTGTGTCTACAGTGGAAGAACTTCTGTGCTGGAGACACCCTTGTGGGGTAGGACTTGCTTCAGTGGGGCTTTGGTGCTCACTGAGTCTGCCTCTTGAGTGTGTCCCTATGAGGAGTTGAAATCCGGTATCTGACCACTGGGTACCCTGGCTCCTGGATCTCCAAGTCAACTCTGTGTGAGTCCACCCAGCAGGAGCTACAGCAATATCAGCAGATCTGTCCTCTTTGTTTGGGGTTTGGAAGTTTTGGAGCTCTCTGACCCAGCTGCAGTTTGTTAGGTTAGGCTGCAAAAAGGCAGGCATTTCTTTTGCCCTGCTGCCCACAGCTTGGGTGGGGATGTAACTTCAGTGGGGTGGGGTCTCAGTGAATCACCAGGGTGGAGCAAACAGCAATGGCTGTTGTCAGCCGACTCCACGACTCCTCACGTCTCCCCGTCTTGGAGTATCTGCATCCCCGAGTCCCGTGACCCCATAGTAACAATGATCCCTGCGAGCAGCTCTGCGAGAAAGCCACCCTTGCTTTCCGACCCACTGCAAGACAGTCCAGTTTCTCCCTGTAGGAGTCTGGGTCCCCAGAGTCTTGCCATAAATGAGTTCAGTGTTTTCGGGAGCCTGTATCCCCTTCTGATTGAAAAAAACTGCACCTAGTCGGAGCCCGTCTCATGCGCAAGCGTGCACGTGCGCCTCCATACCTCTGCTCTTGGCGCCTCTACACCTCCTACCCAGTCTCAATGTGCTTTTTTCTTTCCTTCTAGTTGTAGAATTTCCACTCGGCCAGCTTTCCCGTGGTTCTGGATGATAGCTGTTTTGTCTTTTAGTTGTAGTTTTAATGTGGTTGTGGGGGGTAGCACGTACAGGTTTATACCTTATGCCGCCATCTTGGTTCTCCAGGAACACACTTTTTTTAAAATATTTTATTTATTTTTTACAGAAAGGAAGGGAGAGGGATAGAGAGTTAGAAACATCGATGAGAGAGAAACATCCATCAGCTGCCTCCTGCACACCCCCTACTGGGAATGTGCCCGCAGCCAAGGTACATGCCCTTGAGTGGAATCGAACCTGGGACCCTTGAGCCCGCAGGCTGACACTCTCTCCACTGAGCCAAACCGGTTAGGGCGGAACACACTTTTAAAAGACAAAATTTACCTCTGTTCCTCTCCAAAACTAATTCCAATCCCTACCGAACTTTTGTCCAGTAACTCTTCTTTTTTTTATGTTTACAATGCCCTTCCCTTATTTGTCTCCATTCATTTTAAAGAACAAAAGGGATAACTTGTACAAAGCCCAGTTCTCAGGCTAACATCCACTTCCCTGAGGAGTTCTTGGCTTCCCCCCAGGTCATATGATTGAAAGCATTGGGCCAGGCATTTTGAAATGAAGTCAAATTTTTCAGGTCTTCTGTTTGCCCTATTGATACTATTTAAATAACTCTGCAGTTGGACAGTTTCTGCCAACTCCACAACATGCCTTATTATTTATTGCTTTGGAGTATCCAATCAGCTACAAGTGATGATATATAAATAAAAATGTTCAGTGGGAAACATTTTATAATGGTAGAAGTTTTCCAATATAGAACACATCCCCTATCTTCCTCTGCTCCACAAAGTCTCTGACTTCATGTCAACGAACAGTTCCTTCAGTTGACTCATTAGGAACCTAGTTCTTCTTGGAGTTCTATGCTGCATAGTGACGCCTGAGTCAGTTCAAGTTTGGTTGGTGGAGTCTATAAGGTGGTAGCCACAGAAGCTTCTCCATTGCCACACTGAGTGACTGCAGAAGGTGGTGTGCACACAGGTCTACAAAAAAACTTCAGGTAAGCAGATTGTTTTGGACAGCAGTGTCTTGTCTTTTTCAGCCTTCCTATTAATTAGGATCCTCGTTCTAAAGAATTTGTATTTACGATGGTTACTAGACTTATTGTGGTGATCATTTTGTAACGTATATGAACACTATGTTGTACACTTGAAACTAATATACTGTATATCAACTATAATTAAAAATAATTTAAAAAAGAATTTGCATTTATATTCCCATGACTATTCTGTAATTACCAATTTGTACTTCTTAATCCCTTCACCTTTTCCACCTAACCTGACCAACTCCCCTCCCATGAGACAATGGTCAAAATTTTCTCTCTATGAGTCTGTTTCTGTTCTGATTGTTTGTTTGTTTTATATTTAGTTGTTGATAGATAAGTATTTATTGTCATTTTATTATTAATATTTTTTCTTTTTCTTCTTAAAGAAGACCCTTTACATTTCAAATGTAATTCTGGTTTGGTGGTGACAAACTCCATAGCTTTTCTTGCCTGGAAAGCTCTTCATATGTCCTTCAATTCTAAATAGTCAATAATATTGTAATAACTATATATGGTGATAGATGGGCAAAAGATTTATTGGGATGATCTCTTAATAAGTTATGTAATGTCTAACTACTGGGTTGTATACCTGAAACTAATATATATTGTATTTCACTGAAATGCAATAAATTGAAAAATAAAACATAATTTAAAGTCAACTCAAATACTCATCAACAGGTGAGTGGATAAATAAATTGTGGGATGCTCCTACAGTGGAACACTGTATAACAGTAAAAAAAAAGATGGAGTCTGAATGCACATGAAAACATGGATAAATATAAAAAAATATGTTGTGTCAAAGAAGCCATAAACAAAAGAATAAATAATGTATAATTTCATTTATGTGAACAGGCAAAAATAATTGATTATTATAGATGTCAGAATAATGGTTATCTCTGGGGGGTGGTATAAAATAACTTAAAGTAAAAAAAGAAGAAAATAAGAGATTGTAGAAATCCACTCCCCTCTGGAAAAAAAAAAGAATTTTTATTTGTTAATTCATTTTTTTCCCCTTGCAAACTCTTGGACCCAAGCCCAATATTGGGAACTAATTCCTAAAAACACTGTAGGTCCCTGGAGCCAGAAAGTACTTTAAAAATCTACAAAGCCAGCATGTGTTATTTTGAACTGGTAAGATGTCCAAATCCTTTCCTTGAATTATAAAGTATTGGTATGTGTATGCCTTTCCCTGCCACCCTCCAGACCTATAGTAACACTGTGAGTAAAGACAAGAAACAACATTCTCCTTGCCTTCAATCCATGGTTCTAAAGCAGTCGTGGGCAAACTACGGCCCGCGGGGCCAGATCCGGCCCGTTTGAAATGAATAAAACTATTGAAAAAAAAGACCGTACCCTTTTATGTAATGATGTTTACTTTGAATTTATATTAGTTCATACAAACACTCCATCCATGCTTTTGTTCCGGCCCTCCGGTCCAGTTTAAGAACCCATTGTGGCCCTCGAGTCAAAAAGTTTGCCCACCCCTGTTCTAAAGTGTCCCTTGTCCATTTGCATAGAAAAACTCTTCCTTCTTTGAATGAAGTGTCATGTGGCTAAGATGAAGTTTTACCCTTTCCTGTTTCTCTCTGACAAATTTCTCTCTAATCATTGATGTATTTGGCACCGGGTTCACAGATATTTCTCTCCATCAAACTCTTGTCACATCCCGGTGACATCTGTGATACCTACAACACCCATTTCCTTATTGACATCTCTATTTTTAAAAATATGTTTTTATTGATTTCAGAGAGAGGAAGGGAGAGAGGAAGAGAGAGATAGACACATCAGTGATGAGAGAGAATCACTGATCGGCTGCTTTGTGCATGCCCCCTATTGGGGATTCAGCCTGAAACCCAGACAAGTGCCTTGACTGTGAATCAAACCTTGAGCTCCTGGTTCATGGGTCAATGCTCAACCACTGAGCAACACTGGATGGGCATGACTATTTCTCTGACTTGAACTGATTTACTTCTGAAATCCTAACCTCGAATAGCCTAATTTCTGATTCCAATCTCCTATTCTCTGAATACATTCCCCCTACCTATCACCATTGCTATTCTTTGATCCCATAAAGTGCTTTTATCCTTTGTTCTCTTCATCTTTTCCCACTTGATTAGTCCCTATCCTAACTTAATTTCTCCTTTCTCCTAGATTCCACAATTTTAACTTACTTTAAAGTGTCTCTTTCCTTTATTCTCAAAAACTTCGCCACTTATCTGCTGCTCTAAGTCTGGAAAAATTTAACCCTGCTTCATTTCAATTTTTCTTCTTTTCTTCTGGCCTCTGGGGTACTGAGATCATACATGTGGATGAATATAACTCCCAAATGATGGTTTTCCACCTGCATCTGACCCTATGTCTTGCAAGTGCTCTATGTATTCCTACTCTGCATTTTCTCTAACTAGCATCAGAGGCCATTCAAACTTTAATTTTTAGCATTAACACCCTATTTTTTCTCTCTATGTTTATCTGGTGCATTCCCTCACCCTACTCACTTCCAAAAGATGATTTTCCATTCTATTTCTTCCATAAAATAGATATTCAGAGATAACATTTCAACTTCCTGTTCTTTCTTCTACTCGAAAGTGCTCACACACATATACCTATATCCACACCTAAGCTAAAATATTTTTTTTCCTTTGTGTAGAAGAGGTATTCTTTCTGTACAAAACTAATCCCAATACTTACACATAGAGGTGTGACTGAAGATAGAATGAATTAATAAACATAAAGGATTTGAAACGGTGCCTGGTCCATTGATTTAGCTATTTTTCTTTCCCCTTTCCATCTCTTATTAAGTCCATTAGCCCATCAATTTCTGTCCATCTTACCTGCTTTTTATAGTTAACATCAATAAGCTTCTCTTTCTCATCTAATAAGAAATGCCTTCCTTTAAGCTCCTGCAGTCTCCAGTCCTCCTTCTTACTATCATACCTTTTTCCTTCCTTTCCTGATGCAGCTCTTTGAAAGACTTATCTTCATTTTCTTACATTTCATTTATTCTCCAATCACCTTAACCTGGATTTCTTTCTCCATCATTCCATGGCATATCTCTCACCAAATCAGAAATCAATTCCTAACTCCAAAATACATTGGCATTTTTGTGCTCATCTCTCTTAGATTCTCAGCAGCATTTGACTTCTCTGGTCACTCTCTTCTTTAAATGAAGTTCCTCTTATTTTGACTTCTGAGATACTGCTCTTATTTTTCACACTTTTTTTTTTTTGACAATTCTTCCTTAGTCTGCTCTGTTGGCCCCTCTTCCTCTCTTATCTTGTTAAACATTTATATTCTTCAACTTATTTTTATGAAGGATCATAACAGAGTTTCTATTGGATCAGGTTAATCCAGAAAAATTCTACTTCGAGAAGGCCTTATGGTTGGAAATAAATGGCCCAGTGGGGATTGAGCCTGTAACCCTGGCATGTGCTCAGACTGGGAATCAAACTGTGACCTCATTTATAGGTCAATGCTCAACCACTGAGCCATGCAGACTGGGCTCCCTACCCATTTTTATATTACTAATTTGGGATTACATCAATATATTTTCTTGACTTTATAACATGGAATTTCCCTATGTCATTAAATACACTTTGAAGACAGCATTGTAGTGGCTGCCTGGCAACCCATTATTTGGATATGCCATCATTAACTTAGCAATTTCTCTATAATGAATGTTGGATCATTTCTAAATTCACAACCTAATACTACAATGGATTACCTTGTGTTTATACCTTTATAGATATATATCATTTTCTTTCCTGGAATGAGTTTCTAGAAGGGGAATCCTATATAATAAAAGCCTAATATGAAAATTGACCAAACAGCAAAACGACCGGTGGAACGACTGGTCGCTATGATGTACACTGATCACCAGGGGGCAGACACTCAAAGCAGGAGCTGCCCCCAGCCTGTAGGCCCCAGGCCAGCCAAGGCATGTGCCAGTGGGGGTCCCCTGATAGCCCCACCAGCTGCCCCGCAGAGGGAGGTGACTGGGGTCGGTGAGGAGGTGGGGCTGGCTGGGGGGTGTTTAGGGGGTAGAGCCCAATTGCCCTGCCGGCTGCTCCACAGATTGACCCTGGTCACCGGCCAGGCCTCGGGACCCTACCCGTGCATGAATTTCATGCACCAGTCCTCTAGTTATTGAATAAAAGGGCTTATTCTTTTTTTAAGGTTACTAGAATATAATTCCTAGACTTTTGACAATTTATACTTGGGTAGTATCACTACTAATCAACAATTTTCTCTTCTCTAATTTTGTTTATTAGAAGAAAGGGACTACACAATATGGTCTTCAGAATCTTTTCCAGAAAATCTCATTCTCTCATGATGGCTGAAAAATACCACTGATGCTATGGCAACATTAGAGCATGTGTCTCAATGCCTGGAGGGACCTTGAGGATCCCTAGGGACAATGTCTGAAAAGATACATTATTCTCTATTTGCATCTGAACAGCTGAAGACATTCACCTCTCAGGTCCTTGGTCTGATTTGAATCAAATGGGCTTTCGGAGATTTGTTTCACCAGATATGTTAATGTTACTTACCTTGGAATTATAGAGAAATCACCAAGGAGACCTGAGATCCAGTTGCAGCTATGGGCTTTAGTTTCTTATTTGTAAAATGAAAGGGTTGGATTAGGTAATTTCTAAAGCCCTTTACATCTGACAGTGTATGATGTCCTAGGTGGCTTCACTTTTCTCCTCTCCCTGGACACCTGTCTCATCTCTCCAGGTGTTTTTGTTTGTGTGTTTATTTCTTTAGATCATCTTCCTGAGGGAAGGGGGCTGAGGTGTTACACAAGATGTTTGTGATTAATGAACCCCAGAACCTGCAGATTCTGTATGAATCCTTGGAAAAGAGCATCCCTGAGTCCTATAAGGTGAGAGAGTAGTGGGTGATGTGGGGAGACAGGGCTGAGGAGTAAGGAGGATAGGTTCAGGGCTCAGAACCTTTCGCAGGTGGATGGAAGTCCAAGTTTAAAGTCAAATTCCTTCTTCAGGGATGATTTTAATAGCTATATCCATTTACCTACCTTACTCTTTTTCAGCTTCTTAAACATCTTTTGAGCTAACTATATTGCTATCTCTAGTAGATACTTCTTTACTCCAGGCTATTGCAATAGCTCCCTGTTTTCAATATTACTATCTCACCTGCAACTTGGTGAGCAAGAGTCATCTCTCTGAATAAATATAATCACATCATTCCTTGTTTTAAAATTTCAATAGAGGTTCAGTATTCTGTCTATAGAATAAAGTCCACAATCCTTAATTGGGTATACAAAGGTTTATTAAAAAATGCCCCAACCTCTTCTATTCCATCTCCCAACATTCCCTTTTCATATACCACATTACAATTATTGAGCCCCTCACTGAGGGTAGTTCTGCAGGTAGAATACAATCTGCTTCACCTTCAAGAATTCATTAATGCTTTTTCTCCTACGAGGATTTACTTGCCATCCTTCTCTCTTTATCTTGCCAGGGAAAAATTTTACTTATCCCTCAAAGCCCAATTCAAGTATTACTTCTTCTATTAGTCTTCCACCACTTCCTCCCTGGGACACCACACCACCACACACATACATGTATCAGAACATGTGTCCCATTATGATGAGAGCAGGTATTTCTTTCCCCTTCCAGATTTAACTTGAAGGCAGTAGCCATGTTATTTCCTCTTTGAATTCTCTATACTTGACAAACATCTGATATATAATAGATGCCCCATAAGTAATATGGTATGGTATGAAATTAAAAAATGGGAAAAATGCTATGAATGTTTAAAAAATGAATGAATGGATGAATTTCAAGGGACCCAGGTTTTTTTAAAAAAATATGTTTTTATTGATTTTTAGAGAGAGGGAGAGAGAGAGAGAGAAACACTGATGTGAGAAACATTGATTGGTTGCCTCCCACACGTACTCCCCACTAAGGATTGAGCCTGCAACCAGGCATATACCCTGACCAGAAATTGAACCATCAACCTTTTGATATCTGGGATTATTCTCAACCTACTGAGCCATACCAGCCAGGGGAAGGGTCCCAGTTCTTAATGATTCAGCTATTAACTTGGATTTTTGTGGATCCTTACTGGGCCATTTGGAAGCATATCTTCCAATAAATAGTCCAAAGAACTATTCTGGAAGCCCTGGTTCTATCCTGTTCAGTCTCCCTAACTCCTGATCTTACTTCCTATACCAGATCCAAGGCTCTATTTCAAAGAAGAACTTCCTCTCCTGTTTTGTTCTGTTGCTCTTGTAGGTATATGGAGCTATTTTTCACATTAAAAATAAAAACCCATTCAACCTGGAGGTGCTGGTGGATGCCTGGCCAGATTATCAGATAGTCATTACTCGACCTAAGAAAGAGGTGAGAGCTCAAGCTACTGAATACCAGGCTGGTCATGCTTGGATGGTCTCTCTGTGGTAATGAGAGAACTGAAGCTGGTGGCTGGGAAGAACAACCTTGGCATCCCTGATTCATATAGGGTTTGAAAGGCTGTTTGAGGGAGAAGGTCAGACAGTGAGATTAGGCATGGGAATAGACCAACTAGCTAATAGTACAGTTTTGTAAATAACATTAGGATCCCATCTAGTGCATTCTTTTCTATTAAGAGTCTGATCATAGCCATGCATAGAACATAGAAGCCTATGGCTGGAAGTGGTTAGAAATATTTGTCTTTCTCTATGACTTAATAAGCACAATACAATAATACTTAAGTCAGTATTGGGATTGAGATCTAAACCTGCCAAGTGGCTAGATGTGTGACCTTGGGAAGACAGCTGCTCTCTTAACTATAAAAAATAAAGTTGATAAAATTATTATGTGAGAGAATTGTTAAACAACAGATAAATCATGTATATTTAATCAGAATGTCTTCCCCATCTTCCAGGTTTGGTTAGTATAAGCAGTGAATTCCTTCCATCTCAGAATAGGGATATTTTACCTTCCCCCTATTTACATAGTAATTAGGTGAGTTAGAACACATCACCTGCAGTGACCCCCAGGATCCTCCGTGCCCCCCCCCCCCCGGGTGTCCGAAGCAGAAAGTAAGCACGTAGGCAGGGGCAGGCCTGGCCCTCTACTCCAGGTGCTGCTCTGAGCTCTGGATGATGGATCTCTCTCAAAGTCCTCTTTATTCACATGTGCACCAAGTGTCAATCGCCATGTTAGCCCCAGAGTGTTGAGTCAGAATTAGCTTAGGCATTGTCTCCTCACAGACTCAGGGTTGACCGCCCCCCACCCCCACCAACCCTGTTTCTTATACTTCTCTCTATACCAGAGGCACTCTATCTTTTAGATCTTTATCTAACCCTGATGCCTCTTCCATCCCAGACAATGGAGCTACTTACCTACCCTATCAAGGGCAGCTGACTTCAGTACACCATCAGAAAGGAAACATCTTTCATAGAGACATAGCGGGGAGTGAGGGGGTGAGAGATCAACCAAAGGACTTGTATGCATGCATATGAGCATAACCAATGGACACAGACAGGAGGGGTGGTGAGGGCATGTGCTGGGGTGTGGGGTGGCTGGGGAGAGGTCAAAGAGGGGGAAAAGGAGACTTACATAATACTTTAAACAATAAAGAATTTAAATTAAAAAAGAAAAGAAAAGGAACACCTTCAGTGTGTCAATACTGACTTATTATCCAAGGGATTCCAAGGCCATTTTATACACCTCTCTCAGAAAAACAGAGGGCATCATGTCTCTAGCACTCCAGACATAGGCAAGAACATTTGGTAAATTATAGTGCTATGTAAATTTGATTGATATTTGTTATATCAGGAGATGAAAGATGATCTGGATCACTATACCAACACTTACCACATCTTCACCAAAGCTTTTGACAACTTGGAGGAAGTCCTGGCATCCCCCCAGGTTATCAACTGGGAGCAAGCCTTCCAGATCCAAGGTAATTGGTCTGAGTGAATAGGCAAAGGCCCCCTGGTTTGTTCACAGTCGATATGGACGGGGTGATGCTGAGCCTGTCTTTCTCCTCTCTCCAGGTTGCCAAGAGAACTTGGGTGAGGCAATAAAAAAGGTTTCAGCTTCAAAATCAGTGCAGGTGGATTACACGAAGACCACGCTCTTTACGTTAGATATATCAGAGATATTCAAGACATCAAGTGATGGCAATGTGAATTTGGTGCTAACTAAAATGTTCAACATGGATGAAGCTAGCAAGTGAGATTTTTCTTTTTTTGCTTCCTAAATTCCTGATAGAATCATTCAGTTGCCATGTTAGATTAAATTTGGAAATGTAAGATTTGAGGCTAAATTATGATGAGGTACATAGTTGCATGGGTAAAGGAAGGAAACTTGGTTTGCTGAGCATGGGCAGTGCCTTCACCAGACGAGTCCTTTACCTGGCAGAATACTGTACCTCATGGTGGCACTGAAAAATCTTTACTTTTTGCAAAAAATGCTGCATGGTGTACAAAATATACAAGTAGTCAAAATAAAAAACAAAAGTTTGCCTACATGGATTCTCCACAATCTTTCATACAGGTGTAAATATGCTTAACATTGGTGTTTATGCTTTTAGTACTATGTGTGATTTTGTTGTTATTTTTTTCCTATTTTTTAAAATAACATACACACATACTGTATTGCAGCTTACTTTTTTCATTCAGCCAATATATTATATACATCTTTCATGTAAGCTCACACAGATATCTTGCATTTATTTGGACAGCTGCATAGATTTCTATAATAGGGAGGTACATAATTATATATTACCATATTAACACACATTTAATTTATCTCCAGTTCTTCCTAATAACAAAAATTCTGTAATAAATATCTTCATAAATAGATCATTGCACAAGCTTTATAAATAGTTCTGAAAGATGGATTCCTAGAATTGAAATGGTTGGATCAAAAATATGTACATTAAGTGAAGATATTACCAAATTCGATGGTAAAACTTTGATGAATTTAATATGTGATAGCATAACATCTGAAACTACCTAAGTGTTTATCAGTAGGGGCATGGATAAATTCATTAAAGTATAACCCAAACACTGGAATAATATGCAGCTATTAACAAGAATGAAGCAGCTCAATATGAATTGATAAGAAAAGAATTCCAAAATACATTGCTAAGTGAAAAAAAGAAATGGCAATTCAGGTGGACAAAACATTGTATACCGTATGCTATCACAGTACGTACACATGGAAAATTGCATAGAATACCTCTAGAAAATTACCTAAATACATTGTATGACTAGTTGCCTCTAGAGAAGATAACTGGGTAATAGGGGATCAGAGAGAGAAGTAATTATTTTCAGTTAATATCCATTTATGCTTTATAACTGTATTACCAATTCAAAAGAATAACTAAAATATAAATTCCCACTCACACATACCGTTGATTTAGCTGGGAGAGCCAACGATATTTAAATTTTTCTTTTGTCTATCTGTGTTTCCAAATGCGGTTATTCCACAGGAGAAGGCAGGCGACAAGGCTCCAGGCCTTTGAGGAAGCAGGACTAGGATCAGGTCAGGCACAGAAAAGAGCAAAAAGGAAGCCTCACTCCTGTGCAGATGATTTATTGCCCAGTGACCTCACCCTTAAGCAAACATAGATCCACTTTGAAATTGACAAGTTCCTGAAAACTCTTCCTCTCTGGGGAGGGCTAAAAGTTCTTTGAAATCTTCCACCTGCCTCAACCTCCCCTGCCACAGAGGATGTTTTTCTGATTTTGCAGATAAGAACACTAACTCTCAGATAACTTATCCATTGAGAGAATCAGGATTTGTTACCACCCCAAAACCCAACATCTCCCCTATATTGATGCTTCTCAAATGGCATTTTTGATAATTCCCATTTGTTGATGGGCCTTGGGACACATGCAGCTGTAAGATTAACATTAATCTCATCTTCCTGCGACATACATTTTATTGAATTATCTGTTAAAATAAATATTATCTTGTCTATTTAGATATTTTGTGTAGTCAAATTCAGAATCCACGTGTTTCCCACGTGAACCTTCAAAGAAATTCAGCCACATGAAAGGTCGCTCTGGGGTACATCTTTGTTATTTTAGGAACATCAGCTCATTTTATTCCTCCTTGAGCATTTGCTTCGGCTTTTTCTGAGATGTGCTTTCTGCATCATAAAGTAATTAGGATTTTCTCCCTCTCAATTATTTGGGAAGATTTTGAAGCAGACATAAAAACAGTACTTTTTTTTTGTTTATCTGTTTCCTCCTCTAAGCTGTGGGACCCAAAGAAAAGGAATGGTATCATATTCATACTCTGTAATCCTGATGTTTGGTAAAAATTGGCTGAGTAAATTCTTTTTTTTCTTGGCAGGAAAGGAGACTTTTCAAGCATCTTCTTGGATGCCTCACATGCAGGGCTTGTGAATGAGAATTGGGACTTTGGAAAAAATGAGAGGAGCTTGAAATATGTTGAACACTGCCTCCAGCATTTTCCAGGATTTGGCTTGCTGGGTCCAGAGGGGGTTCCTATCTCTTGGGTTGTGATGGAACAGTCCTGTGAGATAAGAATGGGTAATACTGTCCCTAAATACCGACGCCAAGGCAACATGATGCAAATTGGTTACCATGTGGTAGAGTATCTCATTCAGAAAAAAATACCGTTCTATTTTCATGTGGCAGATAATAGAGAAGATTACATACAGACACTGAGAAGCTTTGGATTTAAGTTTCTTCCTTGTGGCTGGCATCAGTGGAAGTGCATCCCCAAGAAATATTGCTGATTGGTGCCATTGCCCATTTCGAGCCTTTCTTATCAGTGAAAACACATCAGCACAAACACCAACATGGTAATCTATATTAGTGCAAGAAAAATCATCCAATTATCTGGGGTCCATGAATTACCTAAGCTCATCCTTATGTAATATTTTAATTTTCCTCCTCATTCAATTTATAGAAAATTAGAAGCTTGGCCCGTGGATGCCATAATTTCCTTGCTAGTGACAGACATTTCCTAATTAAAATCACCCAATGTCAATCATTAGTGCCAAGAAAATCCTTTAAAAGCAATATTTTCTTCTTTGAAGATGTCTTTTGTGAAAGAATCCTGTTTTTTCATGCTTCCATCTTTGAAAAAAAAAAGTCTGCTTGAAAAATGTCTCCTCTTGTACCCTCCCCTACCTCTTACAAAGTTTTCCAAAGTACTTTTCAGAAGCACTCAGTATCATTGCTTTGGGTCCTGGGTGCTTTGGGTCCTTTGAGATAGTCTCCTGAATTAAAGTATGGGACAGTTTGATTTCCTTCTTTTTTCTTTTTTTTATTTTTTACATTTCTTCATTGATGAAGGTATTACATATGTGTTCTTATCCCTCCATTATCCCCCGACCAGTTTGGTTTTCTGACTAGCTTTTATTATAGGGGTTTGGTAGGTTGAGTTGTGTGTCTTCATATTCAAGATGATTTTTATATCTATGCTGTATTAGTTTTGTAACAAATGACCACAAACTTAGTGGCTTAAATCAACAAAATATAAGATAATATTATCTTACATTTCTGCAGTCAGAAATCCAAAATAGGTCTTATGGGATAAAAATCAAAGTGCCAACAAGGCCTGTTCCTCTGGAGGTTCTTAAGGAAGAATCCATTTCCTCCTCTTCTCCAGGTTGTCTTCATTCCCTGGCGGGTGGCCCTCTACTTTTATCCTCTTTACTTAGCCTTTGTTTCTGTATTCAAGTCTCCCTTCCTCCTTACTAGGACACCTGTGATTACACTTAAGGCCCATTTGGGTTGTAATGCAGGATAATTTTCTCATTTCAAAATGCTTAATTTAATCACCTCTTCAATATCATATAATGTAACATTCAAAGCTTCAAAGGATTAACACCTGGACATCATTGAGAGTCATTGTTCAGCCTATCATGTATGAAAATTGAGTTTATGTTTCTCCATGAGCAAAGCCAGAGATGTATCCAATCTGAGACTGATTAGCATTTCTCTTTTTTTAAAATTACATTTATTGGGGTGACATTTGTTAATAGGGTCATATTGGTTTCAAGTGTACATTCCTATAATACATGATCTGTATATTGCATTGTGTGTCCACCAACCTAAGTCAAATCATCTTCCATCATCATATACTTGGCTTCCTTTACACTTAACCATTCCCCCACCGCCTTCCTTCTGGTCACCACCATAATTTTGTTTATGTCTATGAGTTTCAGTTTTACATCCTACATTTAAGTCAAATCATTCAGTTCTTAGCCTTTTCTGACTGACTTATTTCGCTTAGCATAATATTTTCAAGACCTATCCATTTTGTTGCGAAGGGTAAAATTTTCTTCCTTGTTACATCAGAGTAGTATTCCATTGTGCATATGTACTACATCTTCTTTATCCAGTCCTCTATTGAAGGACACGTGGGCTGCTCCCAAATCTTGGCTATTGTGAATAATACTGCAATAAACATATGGGGTACATATATTCTTTCATGTTTTAGGTTTCTTCAGATAAATTCCCGAAAGTGGAATCACTAGGTCATAAGGCCATTCCATTTTTCATTTTTTGAGGTAACTCCATATTGTTTTCAATAATTGGTTGCACCAATCTGCATTCCCACCAACATTGCACAAAGCTTCCCTTTTCTAAATCTTCACCAACACTTGTTTGTTGATTTTTTTGTTGATAGCCATTCTGACAGGTGGGAGGTGATATCTTACTCTGCTTTTAATTTGCATCTCTCTGATGATTAGTGACATCGAACATCTTTTCATAGGTCTATTGGTCATCTGTATGTCCTTTTGGAGAAGTATCTATTCAGGTCTTTTGCCCATTTTCAAATTGGATACTTTGGGTTTTAGTGTGTGTGGGGGGGGGGGGGAAGAGAGAGAGAGAGAAAGAGAGAGAGAGAGAGAGAGAGAGAGAGAGAGAGAGAGAGAGAGAGAAACAGAGAGAGTTTTTAAGTTCTTTGTGTATGTGGATATTAACCCCATGTCAAAACTGTTATTTGAAAATATCTCCCATTCGGTTGATTGTCTTTTTTGTTATGTTGGCAGTTACTTTTTTGTGGTCGAGAAGCTTCTTAGATTGACATAGTTTCATACATTTACTTTTACCTTTACTTCTCATGCCTTTGGGGTCAAATTCATAATGTGTTATCTATGAACAAGGTCCATAAATTCAATACCTATGTTTTCTTCTATGTAATTCATTGTTTCAGATCTTATATTTAGCTCTTTGTTGGAGTAGAGTTGTTCATAGTATTTTTTAACAATCCTTTGTATTTCTGTGGGGTCTGTTGTTATTTCTTCTCTTTCATTTCTGATTTTGTTTATTTGGATCCTCTCTTTTTGTTTCCTGGTGAGCCTAGCTAGAGAGAGGTTCATCAATCTTGTTAATCCTCTCAAAGAACCAGCTCTTGGTTTCATTGATCTTTTGTATTGTTTTGTGTGTTTTTTTGTCTCTATGTTGTTTATTTCTGCTCTGATCTTTATTATTTCCTTCCTTCTGGATACTGTGGGCTTTTCTTGTTGCTCTCTTTCTAACTCTTTGAGTTGTAGGGTTAGATCATTTATTGCCAGTTTTTCTTGTTTTTTGAGGTAGACTTGTAGAGCTATGAACTTCCCTCTCAGGACTGCTTTCATTGTGTCCCATAGATTTTGGATTGTTGTGTTTTCATTGTCATTTGTTTCCAGGATGCTTTTTATTTCTTTTTTGATCTCTCTGGTAACCCAGTCTTTGCTTAATAGCATGCTATTTAGCCTCCAAGTGTTTGATTTTTTTTCAATGTTTTTATTGTAGTTAATTTCTAATTTTATGCCATTGTGATCTGAGAAGATGCTTGTTATGATTTCTATTCTATTGAATTTGAAGAGACTTTGCCTATGTACTAATATATGGTCTATCTTTGAAAATGTCCCATGTACACTGGAGAAGAATGTATATTCTGTACCTTTGGGTGAAATATTCTGAAGATGTCAATTAAGTCCATCTGATCTAGTGAGTCATTTAGGATTGCTCTTTCTTTGCTGATTTTTTGTTTAGAGGATTTATCCAGTGGTGTCACTGGGGCATTAAAGTCCCCTACTATGACTGTATTGCTATTGATCTCTCCCTTGATATATTCCAGAAGTTTTTTTATGTATTTGGGTGCTCCTGTATTGAGTGCATATATGTTTACCAGAGTTATATCTTCTTGTTGAATTGCTCCCTTTAGTATTATGTAGTGGCCTTCCTTATCTCTTGTTATAGCCTTTACTTTGAAGTCTATTTTGTCAGATATAAGTATCGCAACCCCAGCTTTTTTCTCATTTCCATTTGCCTGAAAATTTTTTTTTCCATCTCTTCACTCTCAGTCTGTGTGAATCCTTTGTTCTGAGGTGGGTCTCTTGCAGACAGCAAATATATGGGTCATGCTTTCTTATCCATTCAGCTACCCTGTGTCTTTTGATTGGAGCATTTAATCCATTTACATTTAATGTTATTATTGAAAAGAACTTGTTTGTGGTCATTTTTATTCTTAATGTTTAGCATTACAGGCAGAAGAAACCATGTGTTTCTTCTTGTCTTTCTGTTTCTTCTTTTTACAGCAGTCCCTTTAGCATTTCTTGCATTGCTGGTTTGGTGGTAATAAACTCTCTTAGCCCTTTTTTGTCTGTGAAGCTCCTGATTCCACCTTCAATTTTGAATGATAGCCTTGCTGGGTATAGTATTCTTGGATTCATTCCCTTGCTTTGCATCACTTTGTATATTTCATTCCATTCCCTTCTTGCCTGGTGTGTTTCTGTTGAGAAGTCAGCTGATATTCTAATAGGAGATCCCTTGTAGGTAACTTTCTGTCTCTCTCTGGCAGCCTTTAAGATTCTTACTTTGTCGCTGGTGTTTGCCAATTTAATTATGATGTGTCTTGGTGTTGGTCTTTTGGGGTTCATCTTGTTTAGCACTCTATGTGCTTCTTGGACTTGTGTAGTTTTTTTCTTGCCAGTATCAGGGAAGTTTTCTGTCATTATTTCTTCAAACAGGTTTTCTATTCTTTGCTTTTCCTCCTCTCCTTCTGGTACCCCTATTAAGTAAATGTTGTTTTGTTTTGCGTTGTCCCAAAGCTCCCTTAAGCTCTCCTCTTGCTTTTTAAGTTTTGTGTTTTTTTTTTCAGTTGCTCTTGTGTTTGTGTGTTTTTTCCTACCTTGTCTTCTAATTCACTGATGCGGTCCTAGGCCTCTTCTAGTCTGCTGTTTAAGCCTCCCATTGTGTTCTTTATTGCAGCTATGTCATTCTTCATTTCCTTTTGGATCCTTTTCATGTTGGTGACATTCTCATTCAGCTCCTTATAATTCTCATTGTGTGTATTTGTCATCCAGCCGTTTGAGCATCCTTATAACCATTACTCTGAATTCTCTCTCTGATACGTTAGCAGCCTCAATTTCATTTAACTCCCTTTCTAGTGACTCCTCTTCTTTTTTCCTTTGTGGATTGCTTTTTTGTCTTCCCATGTTTTGCTGTGATGTTTTAATTGTAGCTCCGATTGCTTTGCTACCCAGTTTCTTTAGGGTATGGTGCTCCTGGTGTGATCTCTCAGGTCTCCTGGGCTTGGTAGGCTAGCGTAGCTCCCTCCTTGGGCTATTTGGGTTCTCTTCATGAAGGCCTGCGAGCTGGAAAGGCGCAACTGAGGTGTCTAGAAGTCAGCAGCCGTGGAGGGGGTGTTCCAATTTTTGTTGTCTTATGCCCTTGGTTGAAATCGCGCGTGCCCCGCAGGGACTCACAGTGGCACCCAGGAACCGTGTATTGGGGTGGTGGGGCTCAGGAAGCCTGCATTCTGGCAAGATGTGACTGTGGTGTCCAGAGTTCTGTAGTTGTGGGGTGGGCAGACTCAGCTTTCGCTGCTGCCTCCGTGGTTGGATACACGCAATCCCAGCAGCAGTTCACAGGGTCACTGTGGTATGTTTGCCAGCAGGGTGTACTGACACACTCTGAAGGGCCCTGGCACTGAAGCCACTGGATTGCAGTGTCTGTGGGCAGGTATCCCAGAAGAGGGAATTCAGCGTTTCGACAGCCCAGCAGTGCACCCCCGTTTGTTGAAGTGTGTGACCAGCAGGGCTCCCAGCGGGGCCCCAAGGCTGCCTGTGGAGCGGTGGTCTTGGGAGACCTGCATGCTGGAAAAGCATGCAACTGTAGTGTCCAGAGTTCTGCAGCTGTGGGGTGGGGAAACTCAGTTTTTGCTGATGCACCTGTGGTGGATAGGCTCGCATTCCCAGTGGTGGCATACAGGAGCACCTGCCCTGAGTTTGCTAGCGCAGGTGCACTGAAGC